ATTTTTTATAGCTGTATGCTATTTTCCTGAATAAATACACACATATATTTAATAGTTCTCTCTTATGATAACTTTTACCATATGCCATTTCACTAATGCACAAGTATATTTATGAGAAAAATTCTTAAAGGTGGAAATGCTGAGTCAAAGGATATACCCAACTGGAACTTCAGTAGACTCTTGACCAACACAGGTTTGAAGTACACAGGTCCATTTATTATGTGGAAGTTTTTCAATGGATGTATTGGAAAATTTTATGGAGATTTGCAGCAATTTAAGAAAAAGTTTTTTTCCTCTAGCTTACTTTATTGTAAGAACATAGTGCATAATACATGCAACATACAAGACACTTATTAATTGGCTGTTTATGTCATTGATAAGGCTTCCTATCAAAAGTAACCTGTTAGTAGTTAAGTTTTTGGGGAATCAAAAAGTGTAGTGGGTTGGTGCAACTAACCCCTGAATTGTTCAAAGGAAAACTATATAATAAATATTGCTAAGCACCCAAAGATCATGTACTTAGTTTGATCATTAAAGAGTGCCTTGGGACTCCAGTTAAAATATTCAGCAATGACAATATCAGTATGATTTCTATAGTAACAAGAGTATCTGGTTTTCAGTTATTTTGTTATTTTCAAGTTATTCATGTTTGGTCTCTTTGCAGACATGATCAAAGGATATCTGCTAAGCACAAAAGTACAATGATACCTGGATAGTATAGGAAGATCTCACGATAATGGTTTAATCTTAAAGATACATAATTTGTATACAGAAATGCCTATTGTACTTCACTGTCTTCTTTCATCTTCTTGATCATTTTGGCCACTAATGTTCAAAACAAATCTGTCTTTAGTTCAGTTACTAAACTCTGTAGGATTTCTATAATGTTTTTGCATGCAGGAATTAGAGACAGTAACACAATTTAGCCTCTTGCTGTGGAAACCACAAATTTCTAAAGGGCATCGTGCCTGGACATCACTTCATAGAGAATATGCTCTGTCCCCTGGGTGCCTTGAAGACTGCCTGCATGACTTGCTACATCATGTGGCCTTTGACGGTAAACTTAAATTTAAACCAGAGACGAAGCAGGGTATTTTGCTGCTTAATGCTTGAAACCTTCCAATTTCTGTGACAGTGCTTTTTCTCACTATACCATCCCCATGGTTTGTCATCTAAGCATTCCTGGTGAAACCCTTGTAAAAAGGTCAGCTTGCACCAGATCATTCAACATGGGCCAAGTGGTCCAAAGATTAACAAATTTGGCTTAAGAAAATAAGTGGCAAGAAAGAACATTGGTTGCCTATTTGTCATCAAAATTCTACCTTATGTGCAAGGATCATGGGAATCTGCCTGTTCACCTTGTGGTGACCAATTAGGTAAAAGAATCCCCCAATAAAGATGGTTTGCGATGTTAGGTGGTGACTGGATAACGGTGTGCTGTGTAAGGAAAATGTGACTCCATATTTTCATGTGTTGCCTTGAAGAAGCGAAGGGAACACTTCCTTGGGAAGGAGTGGTTTCTCCTGCCTGAGAGAATTTCTTTGTCAGGAGAAGCCAATCCCTGAAGTTTATTTGATGTCTGGGAACCTGTAACATGGCAGTGAACTCCATGATTCATTGAGCAGTGAAATCAGCATCTGAATTTTCCCCTTCCTTCTCTTAGCCTGCTGCTTTGTTTCTTGATCAGCCAGGAAAGCCTCCTTCAAGGACACAGCTAATCTGGAAGTGATAAAACAGCCAAAGAGTTAGAAGGGCCAAGTTGTTTTAAATAAAAGGATGGCACTGCATGACTGCACACCTCATAGCCAACATTTTTTTAGCCGGATCTTGCAGCAACTTTGGGTTGAGGAACGTGAAAATGAGGGTCCATCTAGGCCTTGAGTCCCATGTGTAATGCAGAAGCCCAGGCTCCTTTGAATGGTTAATAGCTGCCAGGGCCAAAATAAAGGCTGAAGACAATCATCTCTACTCAGTGCTGACCTATGCAGAGAAACAAGAAAGGTGAGTAATGAATGTGATCACAGGAACCATTGAAAATAATAGGGAAGCAATAAGTCACTTGGAAAAACAATGGAAATGAAAATAATGGGAAATTATAAAAAAGAGGTGATGAATCTAAAATACATTAACAGGAGAATGAAAAGAAGGAAGTGGCTGTGATGGGACCAGAGGGGAGAGACTAATGAAAGATGGCCCCTCACAAGGAGCTAACAGCATAAAGGGGCCTGTGATGATAAGCCTGAAATGCGAGGTTATTTTGTTTTTTAAAACCAAGCAGTGAGCAAAATGCTTTGGCTTTTCAAAGATAAAAGGAATAAATGGAAGTAAATTGGTCCTTACTGTGACCCAGACCTCAGTCTCTCACAGGCAGCTGTCTGTTCACTGTACTAAAAACACTACAGCCCTTGCTATCAATAGAAGCTTCCAGCTGCTTAGGTGAAATGACAACAAAAGCACACAAATGAGTTTGCTGGCCCAGAGGAAGAGGGACGCACAACCTTTACCCTGGAGAAGTGTCTGGCTTCCCCCATGGAGTGGCTCACCTCTCCTTTTTGGACGAGGCAGAGGGGCGACGGAGTTGCACCTCTTGTTCTTTTCTCATGGCGTGTACGTGGGCCTATGCTGTTCAGGCTAACTTCTCATGCAAAAGGGGCTGATTTTGAGTCATTAGAAAATCACATATGGTTTTACTTTCAATAACATCTGGAAAGCAAGGGGTCAAATATTGTCTCAACAAGATGTCCTGGTGAACCCAGGGAAGGAGCAGATTGTTCTCTGGGAAATTAGTAGGGAGTGAAGTAATCAGGGCTTGATGTAAATATACTTTTAGTGAGTAATTAGAATAATGTTTCTTTTCCTTCACTCTCCTTCTCAAATTACCTCTAAGAAGAGAGGTAAGGACAGAAGAAATAGGAAAGGAGGGCAGAAGGAGCTACTGGAATGATCACAAGAATTTAAATAACATCACAACCTTCTAGTAAGAGCTGAAAGCTCTTTTGATCCCATTTAACTATGTGTCTTGTGTCTTGGTACTGAGTGGATTCTAATTAATATTTTATGTTTAGAGAATTTAGAAATAACTTCCATACATTCACAGTATTTTGTTTCTCAAGGCATCATAGTTTTTATTTAATTTCACATGATTTAATAACATAATCTTTGTCACATTTACACAAATGAAAATTGAGCTGGCAATAAAGAAAGCATATTCTTGTTATAATAGAAGCAGTTTATGACCAATTCCTATCCTCCTTAGAGTTGGCGCTGAGAAATGTGATAGCACCATAGAAAGATGAAGCAGGGATCTCTCCCTCCCTAAACATATAACAAGTTCCCTCAAGTCTAATCCCCCCAGCAAGGGATCCCACATTTTTCATTAATATAATACAAAAACATATGGTTAAGAAAAGAAAAAGAACATAAAGACATGAGTAGAAGAGCTACAAAATTCAAAGAAAACACATTCATAGCTCATACCCACATCTAACTGCCTCAGAAATTTCAATGAAAATCAGATGTGATTTTCAACATGTATTCTGTTTTTTAAAAAATATGAGTGAAATACAAGGGCTTCTCTGTGTAGTGGTAACAGAATTTTCTTTCCTTGGATGGAATTATAATTGCATAGGGTTATTGCAAGGATTAAAATTAGATAACATTTGAAAACTGCTAAAAAAACTACATACATTTATATACACAAATTATGAAAACAAATTTTTACTCTTCAGGAGATGTAGATATGGTTATAGAAGAGAAGAAATGATAGATTTATTTGACCCACATGTGTATCAGTCTTAAGACCTAAATTGAAAATTTTTTCTAAGAGAAAAAAAAATTCCTATGAGCCTTTTCTTTTTTAAGACTATGTTCTTTTTTTATCCCTAAAAGTAAATTCCAGAGAAAAGCAACCTGGTATTCATTTTGTCTGTGTGTCAGTAAAATACAAGTGGGAAGGCCCTGCCCATCAGTTTCCTAGGGCCTTAGGAAGCACTGGGATCAAGATTAAAGGATGGAAGGAGGGAAGGAAGGAGAGGGAAGGAACAGAGAGGGAAAGCCCAGCAAGCAAGACCCAACAAGCAAGTCAACCTTAGTTTGCTGCTCTCCTGCTCTCCACACTGCAGCCCAGCACCACAATTTGGGAGTAGCCTGTTTTTCAGTCTGAGGCTTTGACTTCCTTTCATCTTTCTGAATCTGAGCAAGTTCATCTTTAGAAAGTACTTAGGGACTGAGTACTGCAAAGACTCACCCTAAAGAAGACAAGATAAATGACAGGTTGGGGAAGGGTTTCTTTCTTTCTTTGGACTTCAGACCTTTGAGAACATTTTCACACTCATTTCTATTTAAAGCAAAATATAATTCTTTTACTGGAGTTGAAAACCAGAATCATGACATGAGCAGGTAAGAATATCTATTTTACATTCATCTGCATGTGATGGCAGAATGCCGGAGAGGAAGGAGGCCACCACCACCCCAACCTTGTTCTTCCAAAAGGCACAGTCATTCCTTTGATCAGCAACTATTTGTTGAGCACCTGTTTAGTGCCATGCATTCACTCTCCAGGCACTAGGGATACAGCAGTGAACAAAAAAGATAAAAATCTCCACTCTCAAAGAACTGACATCCTTTGGAGTGGGAGGTTGGATAGGAAACTGGAGATGATCTGAAACATCATTTCTTTGTCAGAGATTATTTGCTGTAAATATTCCTACACGTACTTATATAGGGTTAAATATAAGGGTAAGATATGAGATTTTTTAAAAGTTCTAGCATCATGAAAAATGTTTTAAAAATTCTGGAACATTTGAGAAAATTGGAATATATGCAAAACATAAGTTTTAGTAGTTCTAAAACAAATCTAGTATACTTGAAACCAATATAAGATTGCATACCAACTATAATTCAATAAAAAAATCCAAAATGATTTTGTTAGTTTGAAAAATAGAAATATGTATATATAATCTAGCTTTTTAAAAAAGTTTTTAATTTTTCATACTCATTGATTGAAGTCTCAAGTGAAACATGAGTAAGGAAGAAAAATATTTTTCTAAACTATTTCACAACAGAGTAGGCAGTTGGAGGAAAAAGTTCTTGAAAATATTTCCCCTTACTTTTCTAGCTTCATTTTTGTTATGTTCCCATAAAACCTATCCCAGCACCTTGCCTTTTGTAGTTTTTCAGTGAATATATGTTGCATAATTATTTTGTGAGTATAAGACAAATTCTTGATTCAGAGAGCACCTCCATTCATTTTAGGAAAAACACTGTATTGATTTGAAGGAGAAAACTATTATTATATGATTTAGAATGAACTCTAATCTTTTAATTCTCAGGAACCTAAACTTACTGTTAGGCCACTGTTTATAGCTTATTCAAAATTTATTGGCAATGATGACATTGTTATTTTATAATCCACTAAAAATGATAGTTACTATAAAATTCTCTCATTATTCAGTAACTCCAGAAACCCTACACTACTAAATTACTTCAAGTATGACTTGATCTTATTTAGCATTATTTGAGAAATAAATGGTTTGCTTCATCAGTAGGTAGGACAAAGGGATAATGCTCTGGAAGGCACGAAAAAATCTGAGCAGAGCCAAAACCAAAGAGTAAACATAATCTTGAAGAAGCTATGATCAGAGGATGGGGTTTATTTTGTGGTCCAGGACGTGGAGTGTTAGGGGTCAGCCAAGGTTGATTACTAGGATCCAAGTGGAGGAAATGCTGGAAACATGGTTGAGAGATGGAGCAAAAAAATCTGTAACTGTAAGACTAACCCAGGAACTGAAGGCAGGCACACAGGATGCCACAGAAGTTAGGGGATGCTTCTTCAAACCAGCAGTGCTTTTAAGTACCTTGCCATGTCCTGCTATGCGTCATCATAAAGTCACTGCCTAACACCTGACTACTAAGTCTAATGGATTTTAGTTTGGGGAGGAAGTAGACATTTTTCCAAAGAATTGCCATTGGGTTCAATGAGATGAATGGTTTTAGTTATCTGTTCTTGTGTGACAAGGTAACCCCAAACTCGGCAGCTTAAAACAACAAATACTTACTAACTCATAGTTTCTGTGGGTTAAGAATCCAGGAGTAGTTTCACCGAGTGTCGCAGGATCACAAGGTTTCAATCAAGGGGTCAGCCAGGGAGAGTAGGAGAAGATCCGCTTCCGAGATCATGCTCCAGGCTGCGGGCAGCCCTCACGTCCTTGCTGGCTGCTGGCTGAATTCCTCTGCCCCTTGCCACGTGTGCCTTTCCATAGGGCAGCTCACAACATGGCAGCCAGGCTTCCCTCAGAGCAGGAGAGCAAGAGAGAATGAGTGAGTAAGATGGAAGTCATAGCCTTTCTAACCTAATCTCAAAGTGAAGCCACATCACTTTTTCACTACTTTATGTGTCAGAAGTGAGTTATTAGGTCCGGCCCCCGCTCAAGCAGTGGGGATTTTACAAGGGCATGAATGTCAGAAGGTGAGGATTACTGGCAGCCCGCTTGGAGGCTGACTACTACTCCACAAAGAAATCGATCCCGTTAGGAATTTTAGAACAGAGCAGACAACACTTGGTCATGCAAGGAACAGGTATTCACATGCCTGAGGTAGAAACTGATGTAATCTCAAAAATTATTTTCACCCCTTTGATTCTATTTGCTGTAATGAAATGGGTTCTTTCTATTTTCTTGGTCAGTTCTTACTGATACAGGATGGCAACTGAACCATTCTGTCCTCTATTGTCACACAGCAGCCTAAGTCTAAACTTTCTCTAAGCAGTATAACATAATGGTTAGGAGACAGATTGCTAAGCTCTGAATCCTAGCCCTTGATTTACTAGCTGTTTGATATGCCTCAATTTTGTCTTCTGAAAAATGGGGATAATACTTGTACCTAGGGTTGTCAGATGAATTGAGTTAAGTGCATAATGCAGACTCAAGTATGTATTATGTGATCAATGAACATGAGCTAACTAAAGAAATTTGACTTGTCCTCCAAGAGCAACTTTTTTAGAAAAAGGAAGTTGTTATTTTTTCATATGAATGCTTATATGGCAGTTACATAGACTCCTCTTTGCTGACTTCCTAAAATGAGTCTTTATCATATAGTCACACTTATAGTGGGGTGACTCAAACACCTTTAGCATTGTGGCCAAATAATATATTGTGAGTATAGAGTCAGCCAAGGAGATAGGGACTTCATCTTCTATGATATTTGAAGACTATATTAATCCCTTCACCCATTTATAATATGCTTATGTTTTAGAAATTATGTCTCAGATATTAATCTTTTTAATCTCCACAGCTAGAATTCAAATTGGAAAAAATTTCTTTGATATCTTCTTAGTTGATTCTTTGTAATCCTAGGTATTTTTATTTTAAAAATGCTTATTCTAGAAAAATTAGAGAAGACAGTTAAAGTAAAAAAGAGGGATAAAGAAAAAGTAAAATGAAGAAGAAATACACTAATAATCCCAATACTGGTGGTCTATTCTTCGTTGTTTTTTAGAGCATTTGGCTTTTAACTTTAATAAAATATTTATTCAAAAAAAAATTCACAGAGTAAACAAAAAGTAAATTAGTTAAAATTAAAAAAAGAAAAAAGAGAAGGAAAATACTCGTAACTCATATTCATAGAGAACCACGACTAACATACTTGAGTCTATTCTGGGCTATTTGTGTATAATATGTAATAATATTATACACATTATTTTGTAATTTGTCTTTTTTTCACTCAGAAGTACATTGTGAGCAAGTCAGTTTACTCTAAACAGAAGCAAACCAACAGGGGTGGGGGGAGGACCCTGTTTAGAATATGAAAACGAAGAAAGTTCATCGATTCAGAGAGGACAGGGAGACATGGAAAACAATAAGACTGGGAAAGAGATTTGAGAAGCAAAGGGGAGGAGTTATTTGGCGTCCCAGGAATTGTTGGATTGAACTTTTTTTTCCCCCCTGAAACATGCATATGACTGGAATAGCTGGCTCTTTGCCCTGGTCCAGGAAATCCAACCAGCATGGAAACCAGTGACAGACTTCTCATGCTTATATTTTATGCATTTGGTGACTACCATGTGCGAATAGAAGAGGGTCCTTGAGAGTACATTCTGGTGAACACCTAAAATACATACTTTCAGAATTCATCTGCATAAAGACCACAGAGATACTTCATTTGGGGACTGATATGAAAGAGCAAATACTCATAAAAAAATACCTTTCCTTCTAAAAATAACACCTCTTGAAACCCATATAATCAGCTAGTATGACATTTTGTCCAACCTGATTGGACATATCATTCTAATTCTAACCTACTTTTAAACTTGAGCACAATAATGTATTTTCTAACACTTTCAATGAAAAATAAAATAAATTATTAAAAAATAACCTAACATACACATTTGACAATTTAAATAGATTGGCTAAGAGGAAAAAACAGAAAAAAAATTCTCCAAAAGACTAATTTGAAGAATGAAAAAGAGATATTATTAAATATTTTACAGACTTTAAAGCAATAATGAGAGAATATTATAAACACTTCTATGTTCATAAATTCAACAACTGGAGAAGCTAACAGGCATGGGTTCTAATCAAAAGAGGTAAATGCATAGAAAGGAGGACATTTCTTCATCTTAGACCAGAAGAAAGTAAAAGGCAGAGGAAGACTAAAAGCCCAGAGATAACTGAAGGGTCCCATTTTGGATGACTTCTGGCAAAACTAAATAACAGATCATTGTCCTAGAATGAAGCAGGAACAGGGCTGGGGATAAAAGGGAAATAGGGATTAGTTTTTTAGTAGTTAAAACTAAATTTCCTCCTTTAATGGAGAAACAACTAATTATTGATATTACAAAAGAAACAAAAGAGGCACCTTTATATAATCCTTACACAGGATTAAAGAGGCAGAAGTTCTCATAATAACTGGATCTGGAAAACCTTACACATAGTCAAATCTTTACCAGTGATACGTAGCAAAATCTCTCATGATTTCTGACATCTAAGGAACATAGAATCATGTCACTGCAGCCTGCTTATTTTTCTGCTGAGACATTGTAGTTAGACGTTCAAATTTTATAATTCTATTCTGTTTCTGAAATGGTTTCTGAAGGATTTTTACAAACAAGGCAGTTTCTTAAAGAAGTCAGTGTCTGCTGAGAACTGACTGGTGGTTACCATGGAGGAGGGCCTGGAGTGGGAGGGTGGGGAGGGTAAGTGGGATAAAGGGGCACAAAACTTCTCATCATAAAATAAGTTGATCACGGGGATGGTAGTACAGCATGGAGATTATAGCCAGTGACTGTAACATCTTCCTATGTTGACAGTAACTGCACTACTGGGGATGAGGATTTAATAATAGGGTAACTGTTGAACCATTGTGGTGTATTCTTGAAAACAATATAAGATTGTGTATTAACAATGCTTCAATAAGAAAAAGAAAAGAAGTCAGTGTCTGGATGACGAAAGGAAAGCTAAAAAATTGTATTTTCTAAAAATCCAAGTAGCAGGTATATTTCCACCACTTGGTTGCAGCATTCCTAAATTCCTAGTTGCAGTGTATTTTACTTAATTGAATCTAAAGCTGGGAAGCACATTGCCTATCTCATTCAAGACCCTAACTTACAGATGACAAAGTCACATAGCTTCTCTTAGCTCACAGATGTTAAGTAATTGGCACAAGTTCGCATAACTTATCAGTGACAGAGCCATAATTTAATAATCACATCATGCATATCTTTTATTAAGCATTCTGTGTCCTGTATTATGTTAAGTGCTTTAATGTCACAATAAACTCTGATGAGTAAACGGTATCAAAGAAGTTAAGTAAATTGCCAAGATAACCAACTAGTAAATGTCAGGGCCAGAATTTGATTCAAAGCCAGCCTGAGTCCAGAGTCTATGCTCCTATCCAATATGCAAATATCTTGTTTGCCCCATTTGTACTGTGTTTTTTTCCATTTCCATTGATAAAAATGAAAGCCAAGCCCTGTCGAAACTTGACTGATAGATTCGTAGGGAATAAAAATGGGTGAGATCAATAAAACAGCTTACATTTTGTACGTCAGCTTCTGACTCCAGGAAATCTAAAGGGGGTTTTAAAAAAAATAGGTTTTCCTCCTTGGTGGCCCTGCAATCCTATACTTCCTCTTTCTCAGGCTACTTTGCCTTAAAAAACTACACATCTGGGGTACTCATGGGCTCAGAGAACCAGATCTAAATCTTTTCCCACTCATAAATGGGCTCCCATAAGACCAGTGTTCTTCCAACTGAGGATTGTGACCTATTAGTGTACTATGAAATCAAGTCAGTGGGTCATAACTAATGTATTTTTTAAATTAAATGAAATGAAGTGCATTCTCTCTTTTACTATTCAACCCCACTAATATTTTAGGCTTGAAGGAGATTTTCTTTGATTCATATTGGGTGGCCTTGGGTAGAGGTATTTTCTGTTTTTTTAATTTTGCTTGAGTTAACATTCATTCCATATTTGGTTTACTGGAATCAGCATAAATTCTGACCAGAAAAAGTCCCTTGTAGAGTGTTCTTAAAAGAAGAGACCCATTTTCTTATGAGCTATTTATGCAATAATTAACTTAGGGTGTTGTGGTGGTCTTTCCAACTTTCTCCTTGCCAGGGTCCTAAGAAACTATGGGCTTTTCAGGTTAATCGCACCCAGGTTAATTCCTGCCTCCTTTGGGCAAGGCTGAGCAAGTGTCTCCTCAGAGCCTGGAGGGCTCTTTGAAGCCTCAGCTGCCAGAAAACATGGGGCTGGGAGGATGAGAATCAGCTGGAGTTCAAGTGTTAGTCCCTCCCCAAATGGAAAAACCACATTGAAATATTTGTCCTCTGTGCTTTGTTCCTAAAGCAAACAATATTTAGCTAAGTATGGTGTAAAGGGTTACCATTGGCCACAGCTGATAAATAAACTGGTAACCACAACGATGAAGGAGAAGTGGGGGTATTTTGTGGTCTTGGAGGGGAGTTGAAAGCTCTCTTTCAGTGGCGACAGGCTATGAAAGATGAAAATCATCAAAACAAGGAACTAAATCTTTTCTTAGATCAGAAACTTTGCTGGCTGCAATGGGGAGCAGTTTTTATTTTTGGATGATTGCTTATTAGCAGGTAGAGGAATCTGTCAAATAATTTTTCAGACAGATTAAAGGCAGAGGTATAGCTGAAGTCTCATTTTTTCTGATTTCATTTAAAATTGTAACTGAAAAAAGATATTTTGGGGCCCTAATAAAAATATAAAAATTAGTCAGATGACAAGATTTTCCTAATCAAAGCAAATTAAATGGGGACAAA